ATCCAGAACTGCATAGAGAATTAAAGTACAACTTCTTAAATCCATGGTATCCAAAGTGTAAAAATATCGCTTTCATTCTATGCTATCACAACAAAAAGGACAACATGAAGGTATAATTTAATTAGTTAATTTATAGTTTTTTATCTCCTTTCACTCTAATCCTTCTTTACATTCACCTCATAAATATTTATTTAACTTCATAGCCTACAATACTTTCTAATCCCTAATCCGGAGTTTACATCAACCTTCCAATAATTGTTTCTAACTGGCTTTATCAGGTGGAACAAAAAATATTTTAAACACAACCTCACCTTTCTTTTTACAAAAATGTTTAAGTTGTTTTCCTTTTGAGCAATGTATTTTTATTTGTAGAGTATACTCTCAAGAACATTAAAATAAACAATACTACTGTCAACCGATCATTTGTAGCATTATTTAACAGTGAATACTTCATTTATGATACAGGTTTCAAACTGAAAAGAGGCTCCTGTCCTATAATTTACATTGGAAAGGTAAACCAGATAAAATTTGAAAGTGTCAGAGTAATACATTAACAATAATAAAAACCAAAATCTGCTTAGGCCTAAAAAATGTTTATGAAAAAATGCTATCTTAAATTTAAAGCGCACATTAGAATGAACAAACATGAATCAGCGATGGCAAATTGTGTGTAACATATTTTCTTTATCTAGGGTGAGTAGGCCTATGTAGGATTTTGTAGCATTCTTAATTTGTTTCTACAACCACATCCAAAAAATCTAACCTTAATGTGAATCCAACTACTTTTAAAAGTCTTAGTGTAGCCAAACAAGGGTAGTCCCAAATATGGGAAAACTTCTGAGAGTGAATTACATCTGACAATGAAAACCACAATGGATTCTGGTGTCAAAATCCTACGTTAGAATTATGATTCATGACCAACCAACACTGGCCTAACATACAGGGGAGTTTTATATAAGCTAGTAAACAAGGGTACTTTGGAAGTAAAATTATTTATAACAAGTCCTGCAAAAATTAACCTGTGACAGCTCGATAAACCCGTAAAGAATTATTAAGACGGTTCCACATAACCCAACATCAGAGTTAGTTACGACACAGTAAGTGACCTTGATGGAAAACTAGAAAACTTGGTTTCAATAGTTACTCAATGAATGTCTTTACCATTTTGACTCAGCTCTTCACTGTACGCCTACTTGGACATTAACTATATGTGAGTTACAACCTGACAATCAACGCACTAGCCTGGCCAGTCAGCAACAAAACCTTTAATTTCTTTCAGGGTGTTCAAAAAGGATGAGACATTGACATATTTGACCTAGTTTGTCCTTGGGTAAAAATTTTAGAAAAATATTAACATGTTCCCACCTCTTTTGGAACACTATGTAGAAGAGTTAGAACACTGTGGGTACCGATACAGTAGACCTATTATGTAGATGAGTCTGTACTTTCTTAAAAAGTTAAAATTATTCAGTTTAACCTGCAGGTGAGCAATTTAGAGATTTAATCAACTATATCTCAGTTTTTATGTAAAAACCAGTACTTCTCATACTTGGCATCCTTCCTGTCCGCATTTTTCCCTTAGCTTGTGGGACTGCACTAGGTGTATCACTTCACTAAGAAAGCAATGAACTATGTTAAATGTATTTTGATCTATTTGCAGCTAAATATGCATTCAAAATAGCCTAAATGTATGAGCACGGATCAAAGAGTGACACAAGTATATTTAAAGGTAGGTCTATCCTCTTTAATCTATGGTAGAAGAGTGAGAAATATATTTGCATAACTTAGCTATGTTAGGCTACTAAAATAATCTTGTGTCCTTTGATCTTGCTCTAACATATAGCCTAATATATTTTCATTCATTGTAAATGAGATTTGACGCAAGGATTTCCATAACATTGCCCGACTAGACGATGAATGACAATGCCCTTAGCGACTTGTGACATCTTGATGAGTCATTTGAATACACACAACTACACAAACACTCACTCGTTTCAAGGTCTCATTCTGGCAATGTCTGTTGATTTTTCTCAAGGAAGAATCTCTTGAATGGTTCGCAAAAAATCAGTTCAACCCCCCCCCCCCCCTGAGCCACAGTTTGCTTTACGGCCAAGAAATTCCATAGTCATAGCATAGTTGAAAGCAAGAATGAATAGTAATTAAACCGTAAATTTTGAAACGTCATACTGTAATCCAGCTACTAGGAGGTTACGAATTGTGGATACTACTAGTAGTAGGGATGCACTGTGGATGCGATACTCCTTGGTGTGGATTAACGTCCGCACTAGCAAGTACTACGACTACCCGCAGTACTATCCTGATAATTAGACCATTTTTGTTACGGTAATACAAAGACAAAAATGTGGTTTGGATTCCGCTATAAACTGTAGGTCCCTTAGTTGCCGTTAGCTGTATGGGCTATTACGGTAATTAACAGCTGTGTCTAAGGAATATGTCGGCCTTAGTCATTAACAAGGTCACCACTCATCCGTCACTCATATTTGGGTTAAAATACGCACAAAGTGGCGTCCCTATCTTAAATAATTGAAAAGACTGGTTACGACTCTATCACTAGATTGTTAGAAATCATAAGAAATTATCATTGTATTGCGGTTAATTAGGCCTATAGCCTAACTTTTAAAATAATCCCAAAATTAGGCGATTGCTAACAAAAGTTTCATTGTGGAAAGTGAAACATGCTAATAACTAAAACATTTGTTAAGACTGTATTATCATTTAGGCCTAAAATTATAAGGGGTTACTAGCCCAATAATAGGCTACATAAGTTTAGGTTTAAAAGACTTTCCTCATAACCTTTTATTGCAGTCCTACTTATGTCATGGTAAAATTTTAATTTATATAGCCTGGCCTACAATTAGAAAAGCTGACAAACCTGCCGCTGAGTAAGATCCAGAAATAAAAATAAAATTCCAAAACGTTGAACACAACGTAACTTAGCCTATCTTATATTTAAAAATTTTATCTTTTGATTCAATTTAGCCTAAATAAAAAAAAATGGGGTTTAAGTCAATAAACCAGATGTTTAAGGGGCGGTTCACGAGTCATGGGTTATCCTTAGTTCGAGCGCAAAATCCAGTTATAGCCGGTTTTTTACGGAACCCCGTACTCGTGAACCGCCTCTTAATGTTAATGCAAAGGCTTTTACTTTTTTTTAAATAAAGTACGTTATAGTACATATGTTACGGAAGATAAAAGGCATCTGAAAACACAATTGAGCACTGAACATAGCAGGCTACTTAAATATTCTTATAACTTAAGCCTATCTTATTCAGGTTTGTGGGGAAGGCAGGTCAAACTTTGTGCTAATTTGTGACTAAGTTACCTAGGCCTACCTACATTAAATTAAGTCCAAGGTGTAAAAATGTAGGTTGGATTAACTGTTAAAAAGATTAACTCCTAGGTCTAAAAATGTAGGCCTAGGTTAGATTAAACTTAGTCAAGTTATAAAGTTAAATTTGGTGTACGTTAAGGTTTTTTTTTTGTTTTTTTTAAACTTAGTTAGGTTAAAACTTAGTGTAAGGTTAAAAGGTTATAGTGAACTACGTTTTAATTTATACTTAAGCATGCTTGCATAAGTTACTTAGGCTACCTACTCGGCTGAACAAACATAGGCCTACTTAAAACTTAAATAATGTAACTTAGGCCTAGGGGCCTATGACTAAAAGTAGTGATTTATAAAAACAAAAAATGTAGCCTATTAAACTTAGGCTATATTACACCTGAGCCTAAGCCCTATTCCTCATCTAAAGCTTATCTTGTCCAAGCGTAACAGATCTTGTTTTGGGGACTGCACTTTAGTTTAACTTATGTCTTACACTGATTTGAATGAAAAATATTGAAATACAGATTATTCCAAGTATCGATTATTTCAATTGGTTAATTAAATTATTAGGTTATGTTAATCTACAGTAACCAAACTTGATAACTTATCGAATGAAGTAATCGATATACCGATCTATAGTCTATTAATTTGAATGAGTGTAGGACGTAAACTAAAGTGCAGCCGTTTTAGGTTTTTTTGCATGGTTTTTGCTTTAGTTTTGTTTTGGCATGCGGTGGTCTGTTTGTTCCCCTAACTTATTATATGTAGCATGCATTTATTTGTAAGGGCTGCACTTTACTTGACGTCCTACACTCATTCGAATGAAAATATCGATCGATAGCCTATATCGATTAATCGATTGCTTCATTCGATATCATTTGGTTAGTTAGGTAAGGTTAACCTAGCCTAACTAACCAAACGATATATCGCATGAAACAATCGAATGAAAATATTGAATCGAAAAAACAATCGAATGAGTGTAGGACGTCAAGTAAAGTGCAGCCTTTGTAAGTCAAGATCAACTATTTAGGCTATTATTATTTATTTTGTATTGAGAGTGACATAGCCTATTGCATTGCTTGGTGGCCAAATAAATCATTGAATCATTGGGTTAGGCTAGCCTATGAACATTTTGCTTTGGCACTACAGTAAGTTAGCTTAGGTATCTTGGGCTTGCAAGGAAACTTGAACATTATGGAAAGGCGGACGGGGGTGTCGAATGTCTTATTAAATGTAAATAACGTTGAGTACCTCCGATCAATTCATGTAATTACGTGTGAATGAAATAAAGCATCGGTGGCAATTTTTTCGACACTGGCAATTTGCTACGTCTCAGGATCCATAGTGCGACAGCTTCGGCTAGAAATTTATAACAGGGATGACAACACTTTCAAAGCGATTTTCTCATGGTTAAAGAAGTAAACATCAATTTTTAAACGATTTGAATTCACTTTAACGACCGAGAGTAGGCCTATTATTGCAAATTATTAATTTGGCCTGTTGTAACAGGGAACTACTGCCATCTTTGATCGATCGCAAGTAATATACAAATGAAATGAATCATAACTCCTAAATAAACAAGTCTACCGCAAAATCAAATCCGATTACAAATTTATGATGGTTAAATCATTAATTTAGTATAAAAGTTATTACTTACCAACACTAATAAACACAATAAAATGTAAAATTCACAGACCACAACAAACCGCACTTCACTTCAATGAATCGTTACCGAACTGCTCAATTTTCTCGGAGAAAACGAGATGTCTGCTCTAAACGAGATTTCACGAGATTTTTAAATCCAGCTGACTACAATTACAGAGTTTCAAAGGTGTCACAGACCATCAGCACACTTAAAACGGGAATGTAGGCGTTGATTATGTGTTGAAAAACATTCTCACCAACATGCAATAAATCTTCAGAAACAGAAACCTCCTGTTATATGTATATCATGTACTCAGTAGTGTATAATTTATTGTTATACATGTGGCAGCCCTGTCTTTGAGAATACGAATACACACTCTTCCGTCCTCAAGATGTCTTCTTATTGCAGAGCCTAAACACCCGTAGCATAATCTATTATAATCCAAATACAATATGGTGTCAGAAGTGTCCAAATACAATACCTCCGACTGAATACCTCAAGTATTAAGGTGTTTGTTTTTCATAACGTCAAGCAAGACCTAGAAAAATGAAGGAAATGTACCTATTTTTCTCAGACCTACCTAATTTTCAGTAACCTATCGTTAATGGTTTTGACGTGAGTGGTAGAGGAATCTAATGTATCGTGATAAGCCTTCCACAAAGTGCCGGTCCACATCCATGTCCATAAGTGGTCCATTGAACGTCGGTTTTTTTGCACACCCTAGATAGTCGCACACAGTTGTTACTTGTACTTCTCAGAAGCCGTCTGTATTCATAAAACAATTTTACATCATCTCCTTTAAAGGCGCTCTGCAGACACCGAGAATGAGAAGGTACACACTCAATGGTACACCTACTAGTAAGTGGTGTAGCATAGACGCAACATGCTAAGTGGTGTCTAGGGTAAAGTCCAAACCCCCCCCCCCTCATCACCTTCACCCACTACAACTCTCACAGTCGAGGAAGACCATGTGCCTTGTGCGAGAGGAATTTCCGCACAGTGCTCGCCGCTCAGGCTCTTCCTTGCTAGTCACAAGTATATTTTCGACACAACGTAAAAAGCTGAGGTGCACACGGATACCATAAGCGAGTTTTTCTCTGTATGGATCAGATTCCATTTAGTCAGGTGGTGGTGATACACACCAGCAGCCTATGAATTAATTGTTGTTTAGCTTAATAAAATCAGTGTTATCAACATTCTATTTGTCAGCTATTGTTGTTAGTGATCAATCACTAGCTCATGTTCTTTTAACTTTTAATGTTTTTATTGTTATTGCATTTTGCTTATTGTCCTTTAAACAGACTGTAAATTAAATTATGTTAAAAAACGTTTATGTGAGCTCTTCACTTCACACTGCACGGCCAAACAGCATCTGTTCGGATTCGGAATTCTCGTTGGACCTACAATTAATGCTCTTCAAAACAGGCCTTCATTTTACAGATGGTGATACCTTTCGGCGCAACACCAATATGTAACGTTAGGATGAGATTTTGTACTTCCACTTCACCTTGAGCTGGGAGATCGGATTACAATCAGGACCTCAATCAACTACTCTCTTCTTTGGAAAGGATTATCTTCTCACATAATACTTCCTTTAAATATATAATCACACATATGAGCTTTGTTGCGTGAAACGTAACCAAACTAGATACTTGGGGGTTGTAAAAGTTCTACTCAACACGTCCATTGAGATTCTACTTTGTAGTAGGACCTTGATTTCAAGCAGGGCCGCTTTTATATGGGCACGGGCCCAGGGTCGCAGGAAATTTTAGTTAGTTGGGGGCGTAATCATCTCTCAGGCCCAAGCGCATCAAATGCAAACCGTGGGCCAGTTTTCAACCAAATCATCATAATCTCTTCGCAAGAAAATTTATGACCACCACTGTGGAACAACTCTAGATAACAGATTAAGCTATATTTTTTTTGTCGTAGGGAACTAGGCTCTAACCCGCAATCGATTTTCATATTACTTTAGGCTATACGGTACCTAATAGTTGCGAAATCATCACTTGGATAAAATAATACATTGGTAATTTCACAGGATTAGGATTTAAACCTGGGAACTCATGGACCAAAGTCCCGCTCTCTACTAATATACCAGCTCTCTCCCTCTGTTTAGCTCAAAGAACAAAGGCAACAACAAAATTAACAAGTATAAACGAACAGCATTGTCACATGGGCTCACAAACAAAGCACATGGCTGATAGGCACAGGATATATCCACCCTAGTGTTATTGATATGTCTTAGTGTAGGGCTTGTATAAATGGAAATATACCTCCACACAGAAGTTTTCCCGTATAGGCATTTGACCAAAAAGGTCCCGATTCCCCAGAACAAATACAACTTAAGATTTAAATAAAGTGTATAGTGATACTGACTAATAAACACAACTAAACTCATGGGATGAACAAATTTATTAGGTACAAAAATAATTACATAAGGTAATAGCATGGTGGAAGGAAAATACATAGGTGTGCTATTCTCGTCATATTCTGACGTCACTCAGATTGCAAACAAAAGATCACCTGATTGCGGTGGGGCACACGGAAGATTTCTCAGGTGCCGTTTGACGTCACTAACTGCTGCGTCTGAAGAAACAGACAATTTTATAATTTTCTATTGTTAAATTAAACTGTCATAACCTAACCAAACCAACCAAACGTGCTGATAATGGAAAAATCAAATAAAGGTTTACTAATCTAAAAAATAGTTTTGTTCATAAAATAAAATTATAATTGCCTAAAATTCAATTTTATAATTTTTTAATTATAAAATTAAACTGTCATAACCTAACCAAACCAACCAAACTTGCTGATATGAAAAAAATGTTGATAAAAAGTTAGTGCCGCCGGCGGGAGTCGAACCCGGAACATTCGGATTATCAGCCCGCAACGCTATCCACTGCACCACCGAGGCCGATGGCTCAAAATCGTATCGTTGCGGTATTGGTGTTCCCTCAAAGTGACGTCAAACGGCACCTGAGAAATCTTCCGTGTGCCGTTTCGACCTGATTGTAATTGTCAAATTAGTATTTGTTTTGATTTGGTTGTTATTGTTTTTATAACGAATACATTCAACTATTTTAAAAACATGATAAAAATAATAACAACCAAATCAAAACAAATACATACTAATTTGACAGTTGTTATAATCATCTTTTGTTTGCAATCTGAGTGACAACGAGAATAGCTCACCTATGTATTTTCCTTCCACCATGAGGTAATAGAGTTTCCTTATGGCTATGCTATTTACAAAACTGAAGAAAGAGACAAAACTCTTGTAGGACTAATTTACATTATTGTGAACAGGTTCTTGACCGCCATACAGTGATTGGATTTTTGAAGCAAATTTTTTGTGGTAGCGAGCTTTTTGCTTCAATATCCTCTCCCTGGTCTCGAGTGTTTTCAGAAGCGGGATTGAAATCTTGCTTGTTATGTGAAGTAGGGATTTAGTCAGCACTGAAACAAAATTATTTCTTATAAAACACAATGACTTATTTGTATGCTTACATTTCTTGCGATTGTTGTCAGTTTATATAACCCCTAAATACTTCTATTTACTCACACGTGTCATTGTGAATGGTCGATAAAACGTCGGAGTTTTCTCCAGCACATTCCTTGTAGCTTTCCTCTTCTTCATTGTACAAAATGTTCGGTAGATCACAAATGGTCTGTGAAGTAAAAAAATGATAGGTAACAACTTGAAATGCACCAAAACGTAAAACTTAATTAGAAATTTCATTTCACAAGTCAAATTCTATTTACAGTTGAAACTTACTAATCCTGCTAATCCATGAATTTGGAAGTATTGAATTGCAGAAGATGGCAGATCATCGTCCACAAATGTCAAATGAACATTATTGCAAAGATTCTGTTAAATAGAGAGTTAAAACGGCTTATATCTTAGGCCCCTGTTACACTACGGTGCCTAGCCACGTTTCTAGCGAGTGACACGGTCGCTGGCCTCGCTGCCAGTCACCTCGCTAACACGAGGACTGTTCAACGCAGTCCATTTTTCTAGTTGTAAAGGTGGCATCAAACAGTGAGTTTATGTTGTTACTAGATCTCCAGCTAAAGAAAAGAAGAAGGAAGAGAACAATGCACGTTCATCCTATTCTGTCTATATACTGTATCTGTCTGTATCTGGTAAAGTTTGCTTGTTTATGAACATATTTTACAGATGGAAAATTTATTTATTTTGTACTAAAACATAGGCTCCTCTAATACAAGGCGAGACAAAAGTGGCAAGACCGCTGTCAAACTGAAACAGCTGTTGTACTTATTTATAATGGAGAGTATAGACAATATTTATGTTTCTGCTATTACCATGGCAATAGGCATGACGTTACAAAGTTGCCACACACAACGCTTCTGCCTTGTTTGTATTAGAGGGGGCTATGACTAAACTATTAACATTTAACTAAAAAAAATATTTTATTACCTTCCCCAAGCAGCAAACCTAGGTTTCCTTATCGATGATTTTTTTTTTTCAAGATATTGATCCGATAACTTATATCGATATTGACAAATTGAAACATAAACTTATCAGCTGACAACTACGATAAATAAATATTGCTCAGTATCAACAAACAATTTAGAAAAATATTATATTGAAATGAAGTTGTTCTAAACTAACCTAACCTAAATAACCAAACTTACTGCAACATTTCAAAACTCCGTTTGATATTCCTCACATGCCTTTTCTGTTATTAAACGGAATTTTGAAATGGTACAGCAAGATTGGTTAGTTATGTTAAATCGGTTAGTTTAGAACAGTTTCATTTCTTAATCCATAGGCTATATTATTTTTGTCAAAACAAGATCAGTTGTCAATGTGTAATTTAAATACGTTTGAAGATTTTAAAAAATAAGGAATATGGATCGTAAAGGAAAAAAAAACATATTGATATATCAAATAAAATCATCGATAATAATGAACGTTCCCTTTAACAGGAACGTACCCAAACCTAAGTACCCGTAAAAATATAATTAGGCAGATGGAAATTTGCTCTACGCTGCAGGTTTGCTGTGGCGGGAGGATTTTTTTCTCTAAAAAATCTAATAAATACAATAACATGTAATACTTATGTACAACCTTAGTGTATAAATATGTATTGTATTGTACCTGTTGTATTTGAAAAGAACAATAAAGAATTTTTCAATTCAATTCATTCATTCAATTCTACTCTATCTCACCTGTAGACAGTTGGGAACAAAGTTTTCATCGAGATTAGATACAACAAAGAACGGAACAGGTCTGCGGACATTACGCACCATGTCATTGTCATCAACAACACACTCCGATTGGAAACATGTCAGATTCACTTCACACTCCTGAAAAAAGTAATTTCCAGTTATGTAAACTGTTAAAGAGTAGTGTAAAAACAGTAAGAATAGCGGCTAAGACAACTGGGATGTGAAGAAAGGGAGTGTTGCACGACGTCCAATTTATAAGTCAGTGTCACAACGTCCAAAATGTAATTGTTGAGTTTCACAACATCCTTATAAAAAAATTTGACTGTTGCACGACATCCAAATCTCACTATGTCCAGTACAGTAACTGCAAGAAACATAGTCTTTCTACAAGCTTTGGACATCATAGTATTGGTTGTCGTGCAACAGCACACTTTTACTGTCAAAAAACTTAGCAGTAGCACCACGCCCAAAGCCGCTGTTAAGTCAGTGGTATGACGTACAATTGCTCAGCACTGTTGCACGACGTCCAGAGCTCCTGCATACGGAGTTAGGTTAGATTAAGTTAAGTTAGTATACAATAAATACGGTAAAACAATAGTCACAGTGTGCAGGCAACAAATTATATTTTGGACGTCGTGCAATCGATCCAAGGAGAAACACATTCGTTTATAATGTGGGACTGAATTAACATAGTCTGGTTTTATTTTTTTACAGATTTTTTATTTTTATTTTTCACTTTACATTTATTTTTAAAATTTTCATTGTGAGTTGAATATGGTAGCTTTACTCTTATCCGGCCTTCTCAAGATTACAGGCCTAACCAGATAACAATTTGGTCAGATAACCCACTTTGTTCTAAAACTCTGTTACCTGATCTAAAAAGGAGTTCACTACGGAACAGAAACTCAAAAACATATTTGTAGGAATGACAGTCATAGAGTTTTGCCTAGTTAAGAGACGTACAGTCAGCTTTCATTTCCGGTCGATCACAATGTTTGACCAAAAGGTATATTCAAAGTTAAATTATGTTAGCCTACACTTAACACTGAATAGGCCTCATAGAATATCAAAATAATCAAAATCAAATCAAAATACTTTTATTCCAAAAATTAAATAGTACAATAATAACAATATACCGGGTGCGGCAAAAGTCAGTATACCGCTGCAGGCCGGTGAGCGTCATTGTTTATCTCTCGCGCTATTATTATCTCAGTGTTATTCCTTATCTAATCTGACGTCTAGTCGTGGTTGATTTTGTCTTTGTTTATTCTTTATCGATGAATGTTTGTTTTGTTAGTATGCCACTAGTGACAGTGAAGTTAAGTTGGTGAGTTTAGTGCTTGTATTATTAACTTCTATTATTGGTGTTTTTAATCATGAATCGTAAACTAACTTTAGAGCAACGAGTTTTTCTTTTAAAAATTGGTGGAAATTCGATCGTGATTATACGGATGTTAGATGTGTTCTTAGAGTTGGAAAACAGTCCCACTTTTGAACAGTTGCGTCGTCGTTCGATTATTTGCCAGCAAGACGGAGCACCTCCACACTATGGAATAAATGTTCGAGCATTTTTTAATGATAACTTCGACGAATGAATAGGACGTAGAGGAACTATTGAGTGGCCTGCTAGGTCCCCAGACCTAACTCCGTGCGATTTCAGTATGTGGGGTTTGTTAAAAGAACATGTGTTTTCGGAGAAACCTCAATGTTTAGAACATTTAAAAGAATTAATAACAAAACATTTTGATGTTTTATTCACACCACAACTATGCAACAAAATCTGTAAGTCAGTGTTGAAAAGGTGCTACAAGTGTATAGACAATGATGGTGGTCACTTTGAGCAGCTTCTCTAACAGGTATATTAAAATTATACTTTTATAGTTATGTTTAATGCTAGCTACAGTTTAACTGCTTTTTCGGTATACTGACTTTTGCCGCACCCTGTATTACATGGAATTATTCCCCCGGATAGACTGTTGATCTGTGATTGGGGGAAGAGTTCTTGTAACCATTGTTAGGCAATATACAAAGTATTTAACATTTGTTCGATGCTATTACCTATATCTACTAAAAAATTAAAAAAGACAAAGACATTTATAAATTGAATATTAGAAAGGGGACCCCTAATTTGATTTAACAAATACGAAAGTAATGCATTCAAAAAAATAATAAAATGGATCCTACTAAACTAGAAGTTACTGAAGACGGTAACAAAAACATGGTTGAATTCTGCATCAGCCGTGGCGAAAACATCTTTTTCAGTTAATGGAAAATAATTATGCTGTGTAAGCTGACTGTATCAGCGCCTCTGCAGCCGCCCACCCGATACGCGCGAGCCACTCGCCAATCCTGCGTTTGTACACAGCAACACTGCTACCCTCCGCCTCGATAATGTCTGATGGAAGGTTACGGTATAAAACATGTGCTAGATAGAAAGCGTTCTTGTTAGTGGAATTGAGGAATGATCTAGGTAAACAAAAGCCAAAATTTATCCGGTTTCTAGTGGGATAACAATGTGATATTTCTGTAATTATTTGTTGCTTGTTTGACTTTATAAACAGTAATAGTGATTTAATGAATAGTTGTCTAATATTCAATACTGGAAATTCAATAAAAAGTTGATCTGTTGGATATCGGAGTGGTTTTTTAAGAATTTTTTTTGTTAGAGATTTCTGTGTTACAAACAAGGGCTCCAGCACAGTGGATGAGACGCCACCCCAAGCCAAAATTCCGTACTGGAGCACCGACTGCACGTAGGCGTAGTACACCATCCTGCAGTGATCCACCGCCAACACCTGGCCCAGCTGAGCGAAAGCATAGACCAACCTCCCAAGCCTCTGTTTCACATACCAAACGTATGGAACCCAGCTTAATCTCTGATCCATGATAACGCCTAAGTACTTATATTGTGACACACATTCGACAGTGTCACAGCAGCAGTCCCGTGACAGCGGATCACCACAAGAGTGTAGGTGTAGGAGTCTGGGACAAGGATCGTTATCACTTTTTAAGAAAATCAGTCGATGCTTGGTCATATACCACGTCCCACGTACTGCCGGTAGTAACCACTGCTGTGTCGTCAGCAAAGAGGAAAAGTTTGCTTCCAGATTGCACTTTAGATATGTTATTTATGTATATTAAGAACAACAAAGGTCCAAGATTACTACCCTGGACCACACCATATTCGATATTAGTTTTCTCACTTAAAATGCCATTGATGGATACGACTTGATGACAGACTTCTAAATAGCTTTTGAACCAGTCAATTGACAACTTGTCTAACCCAGCAAACTCTAATTTTGAGATTAGCTTTTGTCTATCAATTGAATCAAAAGCCTTCGCTAGATCTAAAAATGTTACTAGCACTCGTTGTTTTAAATTAATTTTGCAAGAAATAAATTTGTTGATGTCAAATAATGCATGCGTCATGCTTTTGTTTGCCCTAAAGCCGTATTGTGAACTGGAAATCACATTTTCATTTTCAAGATAATGGGATAACTGTAACTTAACACACTTTTCGAGAACTTTAGAACTTTTAGAATTTTAGAATATCAACCAATCAAATATTGAATTTAGTTATTTTTCATCTTCTCTTTCACTGTAGCAGGAATAAATTTCTTAACAGAATCCCTTACTTACCTATACCCTTTATAATGTAGGATTTTAAAATTCAAACAAGTCTAAATGATTTTTATTTTTGTACTGTTTACACTAAGTTACCAAATTAGTGATCTCAATATACCTTTGTTGTCTTGTCTTCGGAGAAAACAGAGCTGATAATTCCTACAAAGTTGTCCGACATTGTCTGGTAGTTAGCTTGCGTGTTCAGATCTAAAAACACCAGAAATATTGAACTAACAAAAGCAACGCTAATAAAAATCAATCAATGAATTTTTGTTTAAGGAAAGGCTCTAGGCCAGGATTTTATTGGCAATGAATTTATTAACAGTCAATTTACTACAGTAGACTCCCTCTTATCCGGACACCTTTTAACCGGACATCTGTTTAACCGGACTACACTCGGCGGAAATTACATCTCTTTAACCGGACAATTTTTATCAGCACATTGGTTTAACCGGACTAGATCGGCAGGAAGTGGGCGGTACTGAAACAACTGTTCTCGTGGGAAAGATTTGAGACCAGTTATCACATGAATAAATACAATGCTCTCCTAAATTTAAGTTGAATATCACAGTAAATGGTCTGTTTTAACAAGTTTTTGGGGACGTTGGTTTAACCGGAAAACCCGTTATCCGGACTAGCCTCGGTCCCGAGGAGTCCGGATAAGAGGGAGTGTACTGTATGTGCAATACAATACAATACAATACAATACAAATCATCTTTATTCATCAAGTATTTTACAGCAAATACATGAACTGCGTCACAGAAAGGAAAAGATAAGCAAAAAATTAGGTATACAAGTATCCTAAATAATAGATTACAAACATAAATCATAACATAACATATTTCTAATCATTTAAATTCCAAAACTCTTCAATTGAATATAATGATTTAGATTGCAAATAGTTTTTCAGTAGTTTTTTAAAGCTACTGTAATTATGTTCATTGAAAATATTTTTGGGTAGGCTAAATAAAAATTTTTTGCCAATGAAACTGGTTTTTTTCTCAAATAACTTCAATCTGTGTTGTTCTACATGCCTGGTGTTTCGTAAATTGTAACTGTGGAAATTTTTAGTTTGATAATCTGAACTTTTTACATGTAGAATAGTTTCAAAAATGTATAAATCATAGATGGTCATTATACCCAATTTAGAAAAATATTTTTTAACTGATTCTCTGTTTTTTATACTAAAGATAATTCTAAGAGCTTTTTCCTGTTGACGTAGAATTTTGTCTAGGTTTTTTTTTTGTGGTACCACCATATAAAGCTATTCCATAAGCTATATGTGAATTTATCAAAGCAAAATAAATAGTTTTAAGAGTATCAATGTTTGAGACACGGGACATTTGTCGCAAAGCATAAATACCAGCTGTAGATTTTTTTACCACATGTTTCACATGCTCATCCCAGGTTAAATGCTGGTCTAATATTAGACCAAGAAATTTAGTGTGCTCCACTTGATTTAATTTTGAACCATTAAGATATATATCTGGTTGTAATTTTAATCTTGATTGCCTTGTGGAGAAAGATAAAATATTAGATTTATTTGAATTTATTAGTAGATTTTTGTTATTTGTGAATTCATTTACTGACAATAAATTTAAAAAAGACTTTAGTTCCACTTCTTCTTGAGATTTACCTGTAATTGTTATGTTTGTATCATCTGCATACAGACATACAGATCCTCCAGCATTTACAACTCCTGGAAACCCCCTTATGTAGCAAAGAAACAACAAGGGACCCAGTATAGATCCCTGTGGGACACCATACTTTACTGTTTTAAAGTTGGACAAGACATTTTGGGTGTATGCATATTTGCAATTTGGATAGTATGAGGTATGTCGAATTTGAACACATTGTTTCCGATTGTTTAAATATGATCTGAACCAATTATATTCTTTATTATTTATGTTTAGGCCATGAAGAATTTCAAGTAATTTATCATGTGAGACACTATCAAAAGCTTTAGAAAAATCCAAAAATATTCCAACAACTTTTTCATTGTTGTTAATTGAGTTGATAACTGATTCAATGAAGTTAATGCTAGCAGTGGTTGTGGATCTTCCTGGTCGAAAACCATATTGCTCTTGATCCAGCAACTGGTTTGATTCCAAAAAATCCAACAACTGGTTGTATACAACTTTTTCAAGGATTTTTGAAAAAACTGGTAGCAATGATATTGGTCTGTAACTAGAAGGATCATTGGCATCCCCCTTTTTAAAGACCGGTATTATTTTAGCAATTTTTAGTTTAGAAGGAAAGATACCGCTAATTAAAGATGAATTAATAATGTGTGTTAATGGTCTTGAAATAATTGGGAAAACACGCTTAACAAGAGTAATTGGAATATCATCTACTCCTGTTGAAAATTTATTTTTGAGTAATTTAACTATCTTTTCAATATCTTTTTCATTGACTTCTTTAAATTTGAAACTACTCTTAGGCTTTTGTAAATTTATTAAGTTTGATTGTGAAGTTGTATTTATGTTAATATTAGGAAGAACTTGATCTTCCACAAGGTTTGTGAAGAAATCATTAAATATGTTTCCTACACATGTGGGGTCCGATTCACACTTGCCATTTAATATTACTACTTTAAAGTTTTTTTCTTGTTTTGTTTTGTTGTTAATCTCAGAATTGACAATTTTCCATGTTGATTTAGACTTGTTGGTTGAATCAGATATTTTCCTGTCAAAATATTGCTTTTTCTCGTTTTTCAATGTGATTTCCATTGTACTCAATGTATCGAGACTCTGATGCCTATTTTCGTCACAGAGCTATCAATTAACATTTACTAACAGGTCAAAATTGGACGACAACAATATCAAGGATTTGAAAGTTCCAATAAGAGGAAAATTAAATGTGATAAAAACAGCTTTGACCTAATATAATCAATGTGATATTTATACGTGGTGAATTCAGAACAGAATCCCTCATAAAGGCATATTGTAGACTATTTCTATGTTTCCAAATCTTACCTATCATTTCTTATCATTTGGATAATTTTATTTGGTTAGAATTAGATTAAATTTTGTTACCTAAACAACAAAACGCCCTCAACATAAACCAGACAGAGCTACTATAGTTTGGCCGCTTAGAAAACGACCTGCGCACTAATACTAAACCAATGCTGGAGGAGGTCGCTTTCTAAGCGGCCGAACTATAACCATAGGCTACAATTGTGTTCAGCAGATCCATTAAGGATGATAAATCTCTAAAAGAGTAAGGTAATAGAGTTAAAAGAGTTAATCTAAACTTTAACCTACCAACGTGGGAAGGCCAAACAGTGATATGAGGGTGGGAATGAAACCAGCCAAGTACTCTAATTTCCTTCTTGTAGTTGGTGGACAACTTTTCTGCGTGTTCTCTTGCAGCTAACAGCTGATCAATAGAAATCTCAACTCGGTCTTTCTTCTTATCCAACCGATGAGGAATTTTTATGGCATATATATATGCCATCACACCATCGTCGGTTTCTTTGATCTGTAAAGAAAAATTAACTGTTAAATGGGCCTAATACAAATAAAATATCACAGTTTGCAATGGAAGCTAGCAGTAAGAGGCTCTTTGTATCCTCTTTTTTAGTTGCATTAACTAACTAACCTAGCAAATGCAGCAGCTCATTGTAAAAGACAATCAATAAGATTCCTGATTCCTAATTACATTCATCACTTAAGTTGATTGAAATATTCTAGGCTAATTTAGGCTAATCGATATTGAAGGCTCTCTGCGGAACTGTAGGGCCTACCTTTTTCAGTGTGTGTTCCTTATTTAAAACATTTTTAGGTAGGATTATGGCTCTAGGAAGTGAGATTTTTTGACAGGGATTTTCTCCTTTACTGGGTATTTCCCCTATTTTGTCTGTAAGGCAGTGCAAAACCATGTCACCCCCTAACTTTATTTATTGGTTTATTTATTTGTTTGCCAACGGATTTACACCAATTTTACCACCACTTTGGGGCGAGGAATTCGATGGAACCATCGCCGCCCCCTACGACCCTTCATAATTATAACACTTAGGCCTACTCTTAAATTGCCCCCTTTTCCCGTTAGGAACAAAACTTACTACCCATTTTTAACTTACTACATGTATGGGGTACTTGGGAGTTACTGTGTTGCGGTGCTGAAACTATAAGTGCCCTCTATTTTGGGGTGAGAAATTCAATGGCGCAATCGCTATACCCCTATCTGAGTTACCCCCTTTCTGACTTTTGGGGGGGGAGTACTGTACATGTAGGCTCTGGGGAGTTAGTAAATTATGTTCTAAAGATACCAGGGGCTCAAAATATTTTTACCCCCTATAAGTTATTTGGTGTGAGAAAGTCGTTTTGCATTGACAAGTTAGCTCAAGTCTCATGAAGCAAACACCGTCCCCCTAAAACTAAAATAGGAGGATAGACAGCACAGCGGGAAGGCGTTTGCTCCATTAAATTTCTCACCCAAAAAATAGGGGATTTACACGGGCAATGTCACACTCTAACCAAACTATAAGCTAGGCCTAACTACAGTAGGCCTAACTCCTTAGAATGTAAGTTAGTTAATACTGTACCGTACACACAACTCGTATGACTTACCTCGCCCAAAAGCAAACATATCACTTCTTCCTTCTCAGTGGACAATGCTAGTTGAAGGCATGCCATATAAACATCGTTCGATAAGAAAACTTTTGCAAGAACCATAGTTGTAATATATTCAACTCCTCAAAACTTAACCTATTCTGATAACGTTGACGTTCTGTCTGTTTCTGTTTGTTTCTGTTTCTACACTCTAGGGTTGGGTTGTTTAGTTGTTTGTTGTTGTGTTGGGAACCTGTCTGTCGTCTGTTGCCAGCCGATGTCCGTTTCCGCCACAGAGCAAAGAATAGTTTCCGCACGACCAAAAATATAATCCCGCTCACTGGGCCGAGAAATTCCGTTTTATGACCCCTTCCCCTGTCTCTTGAGCAAAAATTTATAACAATTAAATTAAATATATCAGAGAAAGATAATAATTATCATAAGACAACAATTACACAAATATCTGTAAAAATTCAACGGTGGCAATAGTAAATAAAATATCAGAATAAATAACAATAATAAATTACTATAACTTTAACTAATAATGTAATTAAATTAAATAATACAAGGAAGAATTTATGAAAACAATTAATGACACTTTAATATTCCTGGGTTAGAACTTACCAGGAATACTTAGTATTCGTGGAACTTACCTATGGGCGAACCCGAACGGGTGGGTACCCGGGGCCCCAGGCACAGACTTTTCTTAAGTTCAAAAACTAATTATGCTTTATCAAATGGCCTTTCTCGTTTTGTGTAGTTGAAAATTACGATCGTGGGAAACTATTACAAATGCCTACCAGAAATTGCCGCGAACGCGATCACAATAAATCATGACAGCCGTTGCCGCGATTGCAGGAAATAATCACAGAGATGTTGTCCCGATTGCTGCGGTTGTGATAAAGGGGTTCACGTGGTCGTTTGGAAGATAAACAATTAATGTTGCCCCGATTAGAAGACATACATGTGTTGCCGTGCTGGATTACCGGACGACAATGATTACAGAACTGCTCTGATCGAGGGGAATAATCGCGGATGTTGTCACGATTGTAGGAAATCCCCACATATTTTGGGGCAATTTTTATATAAGCACAGATATCAAAAATCGCGAGAAATCATCGCATATGTTGCTGAGACCAGGAGAAGCACCATGGTTGTTGCCACAAGTACCTATTATAGATAGAATAAAGTAAGCTTTCCAAGTTTTTGCATTCTCCCTTATTTACTGTACCTTGATTAAAATTTATGTTTAATGTAGGTTTAATTGTTTGATGTTTAATTAAATGGTTTAATGTAGAATTTCAAAGGATTTTGCAAGGTACCTGCTTATGTGGTATATTGAATTTCAATAAATACAGTTAGAAAAAACTATAAAATCGTACATTAAAAATATTTTTACAGTTAAAATATTACTGTACCTATATAAAATTACTTATAATTACTTACTACATAAAATGCAGTATACTGATATTCTAACAGGTTTAAATAATATTATTTCGCCATTACATTGCTTATAATTATTATCAGTGTGTTTCATCGTTGTGTTTCATCACGTTTCATACTAGCGTGTTTCTTTGTCTGTAATTTTCTAATACTGTAATTTACAAGTACTGAAGTTAGTTCGGGATATCGCCGCTAGATGCTGCTACCGTCAATGCAAGCAACAGTTCGCCTAGTCACTGCTAGATGTCACTGAATACTCATTCCTGTGTTGTTTAATTATTTACTAGTAATTTAAAGACTATGCAAATTAGAAAAAAAATTGGTTTCAGTTAGAAAAATGATAGTATGTTATACGTTGTAAATCATGCACACATTTCCAAATTAAAGCAGTGGTAGTAGTTAAAGTAACATTTGTATCTGTTGAGTCTCGCAGTGATTTTGTGGTGGCTCATACAAGACTACCTTACCTGGACGACCCATGGGATATAACATAGGTAGTATGTACAAAAATTATTTCTTTGAGAAGCCGAGAGTCGTGTCTCTTTCTAGAGATCGATGATTGGCTTATAAACATAAACATTCAGATTCAACTCAACGTTAGGTTACACCACAGACAATAGACCAACCTTAGACTATAGGATTATACTAGGACGCTGGCGTCCGGGATGCTGGCGTCCGAGAGGCTAGCGTCCCACCTCGAGCCGAAAAATGACGTGATTTGAGTTGGGATGCTAGCCTCTCGGACTGCCATTTTATTTCAATGTTTAGTCACTTTTTGTTTATATCTATTTAAATAACATTAGGTTTAACGAGTACCAAGGTTTGATGCTTTAAGGGGGCTAATAAAGTGTGTTTTTAGTAAAATACTGTATTATTAGCTTAGTATAAAACAAATCGTCCAAGTTTAATCAAAATATATCCATACACAAGCAAATTCCAACAAATAACAACAACATTTTCAATAAGAATAACATGGCAATTTTTATTATACTCTTTTTTTAATTTTCTCCATAACTACAAAACAACACAACAACAACACAACACAACAACAACACAACACAACAACAACACAACACAACAGTACAAAAACACTTAAATATACAAAATTATTTGTTTTTAAGCTCACTAAAATTGTCTAGAGAGAAATTGGGAATTTTTCAGTTTTATGGATAAAAAATGACAAACCCCCTTTTTTAGCACATAAAACCCCGTTCCCAAGGTCTGTTTATGCTGGTTCGCGAACTCATTCAAATTTATCCCACCCCTCATCTTAAAACAGAGTTTCTTCAAAATAGGACAAAAGTTACTCCAGTTATCGCGTTTACAGACATATATATAATATTTAAATCTATTCGAACGGATGGTGTTTTTGGCCTCTGGGGACATCAAAATGAAAAAGTAAATCGGTCCCGGGCCTAGGTCTTACCATGCCACCTACGGTAATAGCTTCGAGCGTCCGGTGGCTCTTTTTAGCATCCGACGCTAGCATCCATAGTATGACTATAATAATGGTACTATACCTCAAGTAATCCAAATGTTGTTTGAGGTTAACAACCTACATGTTTCGCCGTAAATACGGCATCGTCAGGGTTACAAAAACGAAGACATCGATGTCACACGCACACAATAAATACACGAATACGAACATTTAATTACGGAAAGACAAAGTAAACATTTAATTGACATTGATAGGCCTATATAATCACTAATAATATAATATGTATCACTATATAATATGTATAATCGCCCCCATTTGATTTAATGCCCCGCTAGCGTCCCGGACGCTGGCCTCTCGGACGCCAGCATCCTAGTATAATCCTAACCTTAAAATGGTCTATTCTCTCACATCTCTGTGGTTACACGATTTCGCGATCGTAGGGTTGGTGGCGTCACAACAAAATTCTTGAACCAATCGTTTAATATATTTTGATATTGATTAAATTTGTATTATGATTCACTAGCTTATCATAGTTACATAGCTTTTCATGAACCCATATTAGAGTGCTACATTAGAGATTGTTAACTTGTTGGTGATTGCAAATATAAAGATGGTAGATGATGGTGGACCATAAACACAAACAAAAAATGTCACTGCAAAGTAAATATCTTATCTATTCTATATTCTATACTATTATATAAAAATCTGACGGCGTCTGTCTGTATGTGTATTACCTCAGAGTAATAAAACAAAGTATTACTAATAGGTGCAAAAACTACTGAACCGACTGGGCTTAAATTTTACAAAAATATAGCTATAGCTACCATAGTTATTTAGTTTTATTTATTTATTCACCATAGCTATTAGTTAATTATTCGAAAATGTTAAGGCAATAGATAAAAGGACTGGTTTTTTGTTCTTTGATATTTTTGTAGAGTAGAATCAGAGATGCAATGAAACATATACTGTATTTACTATTACATTTTTTAGTCCTCGATGTTTTGATAATCATATTAGTTTTGTCCGCCATATTTAATGCTCAATTTAATTTGTAAATTTAATAATATGTTCCAAAGATATAACAAATTAGTTTTTCTTTATTATTTCATTAAAAATAAATCATCATTAATTAATACTTATAGGAACTAAATTTATAATTAATTTTACTTACATCGTTTCTTCATTTAAAAAGACTAATTGATAAGGCACAATCACATTTCTAAAGTTTATAACAGCTGATGTTAGTGTTGCTAATGATTTATTGTGAGTGAAGATGGAAGGATTTGTGATTCAATTTGAAAAAGATTGACCTAAAAAAATGTTCATTTAAATTTAATACATAGAAGTTTTGAAGTAAGAAAGGTAAAAATGATAAATTTAAAAAAATAGGAAAAATATCTTAATTAATAAGGGGGATGAACCATGTATGTGAAAATGTTATTCAAAAGTTTGGTAAGTTTTTCATCAGCATACACAAGATTTAAACGTATTCAAAACCAAAATGACCGGTTTCACTGGTTGCCAGATTTAAAAGCCACAAACGTTTCTATAAAGTCCATTTGTTGATTTTTTTTCTGAAAGCGTTGGCGGATATGTAACTATTTTATACAACATACTGATATATAAAACTAAGTAATTAATAAATATTATGTTTATAGCGGCCAAATAGTAGATTAAGGTATTTAGCATAGTGACGAAAGTTGTTCAGAAAAACTGCTGTACCAGAGAAACGTTTAATAAAGACATTTTTATTTATTTATTTATGTAAGGATCATAAAAACAACCGAACGTAACAAAAAAGATTCATAGAAATAAGGCGAATCATATTTTCCTGAATATTTGTTATAAATGATGACACAATCTTCTGGGTTTTTACTTAAACGACTACATTTTATCAGAGAGGTCAAAGAGTCAAACCGTAAGATAACTTGAAGGCAAACGTAGTGTTGTTATTTCACAACCATTCTGTCTTTGAGGTTGATACTGTGAACACTGTGCAACATGAAGTTAGCTTGTGTAAGTGTTTGTGTTTTATTTTTACTGGTCGGTAATGCTCATTCCCAATTTTTCCGAGGGTTTGTGGTTGAAGAACCAGAGTATGAGGTAGATACCAACAACGAAGAATACCCATCGACAGACTATTCTTCATATGATCTTTTGGGCAACCCAGAAGAAAATGAAATCGAAGTTGAAGAAGAGAAGCCAAAACCAGATTCTGGATCTTCAGACGAATCTGTAAGTCCTATCCCAGAAGATTCTCGACCTGTGTTTCCTGATTTTGAGTCAGAAATACCAAGTAAGCCCTCTCTGGAAGAAAAAGTCGAAAAACTTCTTACTGACTTGAAAACACAGCAAGAGAAAATCACCAACTTGGAAGACATTAACAAGAAACTGATTCTCAAGATAGATTCCATCGAGCAACAGGTGAAAACCAACAGTATTATTCTCACAAATGTTCACCAAAAGCCAAGGGAGACTTCTAGGGCTACATTGCAGAAAGTCCTTCATGTCTTCAACCGTGTGATGAAAGTCAGGGTTTCTGCTCAAGACATTTCTGTAGCTCTTCGGGCCCTGAGTGACACCCCTGGCAGGAACAAACCCATTGTTGTCAGGTTTACCAACTTCGCTACCAAGATGAAAGTGCTCTCAGCCAGCAACAGGTATTTAATAGTATTTAAGGCACTAAGCTCCCAACTGTATATCTGCATTTTAGTACTTAAATTAGGGATGGGTAAAATTGGATTTTTAGTTCGAGACGGGATGTTTTATTTCTCAAAACATTTGAGACGATATCGAAACGGGATTTTCTTTCTCATCCTTGACGAAAAATGGACGTTTGAAATTTTAACATGATTGTGTAACATTCTTAAATACCCAATGATTTATGGCAGATGACTATGGTTAAATACAAAAATAATAATAATATGTAAGTATATTTTAAAATGTTACTAAAAACTGCAGTATAAAAACAAATATTCATTAGGCCTACCTTATTAAAAAAAAGGATATACAGACGGACACCACCTTAATTTTATAATAGTACTAGCTGACCCGGCGAACTTCGTATCGCCTAAGTTATAGGTTTCCCCTAAGACAGACCGATGGAAAGAAAGTACCGTTACGTTTAATTTTCAAGATGATCTCGTTCGCATCGCTCAATCACGTCCTGGTTGAAGTTCGTTCGCTACGCTCACTCACCTTTGGGTTGGAGCTCGTTCGCTACGCTCACTCACCTTTAGGTTGGAGCTCGTTCGCTACGCTCACTTGCCTTCAGGTTAGCTCGTTCGCTACGCTAACTCGCCTCCAGGTTGAAGTTCGTTCGCTACGCTCACTCACCTTTGGGATGGAGCTCGTTCGCTACGCTCACTCACCTTTATAATAGTATAGATAACTCTAACGCATAGGAAACATGGTGATGTCAGTTAGGAAATAGTTTAACTTTGAAAAATACCATACTTACCAGTCTAAAACATCAGTTGTACTAGTTTAGTATTAAATTACAATTGAAAAACTTTGAAAAATTCCAAATTTACAAGTCTAAAACCTTTCACTAACAAGACATCACATTATTGTCGATGTAAAATAAAGCAATATTTACCTGTAGGAATTAATTAAATGAGAACGCCTTTGAAAGGCAACGCAACAACAACGTGCTCCTGTATTGTGGTTTGTATTGACTTTTTACCGGAGTTTTTTTACCACATTTTAAATCTCGTAGGACGAGATTGAAAATTTCCCGAAAATTTCTCGAAACTCTGAGACCCATCCATCCATACCTTAAATACTTAAAGAAATCTTAAAAAAATCTTAAACAGTAGTTAAGATTAAACGTACAGTCCCTGTTAAAATAACTAAGCCATGTTTATAAGTATCTAGTAAAATGTTTCACTGTTTCGGATAATAGTCCAAAATACTAAATTAAATTCCTTTGAGGATTTGGTATCTTTTACATTATTAGGTTAGTCTTCCACGACCACAACATATAAGGTCAAGGGTGTGTGTCACGAATACAAGAACTTTTAATACTTTTAAATGAAATGGCGACCATACAAAGTAGATATTTTAAGGCAAGTATGAATGGAGATGAGTGTAGGATGAGGGGCAGACCCGGTATCATAAACATAAACAAATGATTTTACTGGCCCGAAATTAAACATTGCCTAAATGGAACTGTCTAAACTAAACCACTGTGACTGTATTTGTATAAGATTCGGACCAGTTACGTCATGTTTATAATAATAATCCATACCGCTTTTTAAGACGGAAATAGTTATTTGTGCAACTAGTGAGAAAAGTGAGCAATTGACTCACTCGAAAGAAATCCTTACTAGGAACGGTTTCTCGAGTGAGGCAATTGTACTTTGAACTCGAGTTGCACATTATACTTTTCCTACAGTTACCATAAAACAAATAAATTTGTGAAGAAACATAACCTATTTTTACACAGAAGTGAACTTTTAATATAACATTTAATGTGAAGTGACAAATACAACAGTACAACAGCTGACCAGCTGATTTACAGCCAGTGCTGCTAACGTATTTCGCGCGCATACGCCGTTGCCTGCATGTCACTATTTCGTGCCTTCACGTTGCAAATCTGGAGTGAGACAAAGTAATTAGAGTGAGACAATGTTAACATTGTCTCACTGATGAGCGAATTGGCCACTTTGCTTTCTCAAATCAGTGAGAGAACATGTACATTGTTAGGTAACTGTAGGAAAACATTTTATTTTTCTTATGTTAAATGAACAATGCCAGTTTTATAATTGATTATGATCAGCTGCTTCTCTAGCCACGATCATTTAAAAGTCCAATAATCAAAGAACAGCTGGTTCCACTTTCAAACAAAGATTGATTTATCTCAGTAGGCAACCTTCTGATGACAGTGTCAACAAATTAAGTTACTTTTCCTACAGTTACCTGACAAAGTGAGCTTTCTTGTACTGATTATAGCACTCAAAGTAGCCAACTGCTGCATTTACCTACTTTTGCCGAACTCATTTTCCTTTTCCGCACTAATTTTTTTGCCGCACTCCAGTATTGGTTGAAAATAAGTTGGCAACTCTTAAAGATACTACGGCTACGATCAGCTGGTCCAGCGTTTCCCATTTTGCTCAACGCTTTGATTTAACCTAAATAAAACGTAACCCAACCAACCTAAAACGTAACCTAACCTAAAAACGTGTTGCATAGTGTTTGAAAGACTAATTAAATGATTTATTGTAACTATAGGCAAAATTAGTAACACAAGCGCAAAGTGTCTTTGATGCACTCGAGAAACTTTCCACACTCGCCTGCGGCTGCGGCTAGTGAGTGTGCAGCAAAGTGCCACTTTGCACACTTACACAAATAACTATAGTCGTTTGTTGACAGGTTGACACATACCAACATGACAGTGTCTTCGGACTACAGTGAGTTGGTTGCGCAGAAGCGTGGCGAGCTAGTGCCATATCTTCAGCAGGCTCTGGCGCAGGGTCGTCGTGCCTTCTTGTGGTACGACAGAATCATCATTGACGGGAAAACTCACACCTTAGAGGAGCTCCTAGCTGAGAACACATCGCCGGACACTACGGAGGAACTGGAATCCATGTCTTCTTAAGAGACTAGTGATGAGCTGCTAAAATAATTAAATATAGACTGTCATCCGTGCTGCAGTTACCATGGTTACCATAGGTTCTGGCGTTCACCGCTGGGAGTGCCATGTAGTTACGGTGCTCCCAGCGGTGTGCGCCAGAACCTAAGGTAAACGCAGCACGGCTGACGGTATATATTTAATTCATTTTGTATATGGTAAAATACTGTACTGGTTTTCAGAACTATAGTTTAAAGAATTTTTTTAAATATGCTATTCACCAGTCTTTAGGGTATATTGTTTAGACTAACTTGTATTAGTTAATGAAATGTAGAGCAGTGGTTATAAAGGGAGGTTGGCAGTGGGTGTTTTCTTATGTTGGGTAACTAAGGTTTGTTAAAATTTATTGTGGGTCTTGGTATTTTTATATTTTGTTTCTTGCACCAAGTAGCCTATTTGGAATTTGTTTGATGAAAATTCACTCCATAACAATTTACTACTGTATAACTTGTTTTTACTAATCGCTACAATTTGACCCATTATTTAAATTTTGCTTGAATAGTATGTGATAATTTATTCTACTAGTTTAGGATAAGAAAATGTTAATTTATGGGAATAAAATAAACCTCAGTGAAAAACTGCAAGTTGTTTTTCTTGTAATATTGCCACAGTCATAGATATTAAACTATATAGCCTACCCTTTAAATTTTAAAAGAAATAGTGGCCTGAAACTAAATTTGTTAAATTTGTAGGCTTTGTAGGGCAATAAAAATTAACTACATTGTGTTAATGAATTTAATATTTAAACTCCCTCTTTATTTCTCTCTCTTCTGCCAAGACATTTACTGTACTTCAAAATAACTTGTTGAAGTCTGTATTGAGGAATTTTCTCTTTTATTTATTTTTATAATACTTATATGTTAGACATCAAATTCAAACAAATATTATTGTCCTCTAATATTACACGCTCAGCTCAGGTTTTATTACTTTATAATGGATCTTCAGTTTTACAGGAAACCTACCAATTTCTTTTATTTTATTTTAACTGTATTATCATTGATAATTATGGATTCAGAGATCAACATTTAAGAAAGGACATTCTCAAAATACTTGAATGATTCAATACTTTTGATTGAAATGGCGACCATAGAAAGTTGGTATATTATAGCCAAGTATGAATGGAAATGAGTGTAGGATGAGTGTCGCGATCTTGTAGTCTTGTTAGTGACTAAGGCCGATATATTCCTTAGACACAGCTGTTAATTAATAGCCCATACAGCTAACCTACAGTTTATAGTGGAATCCGATCCACATTTTTTTTGCCTTGGTATTAACGAATTGGTCTAATTATCAGGATAGTACTGCGGATAATCGTAGTACTCACTAGCGCGGACGTTAATACACACCAGGGAGTATCGCATCCACATCAGTGCATGCCTTTAAATATCCACAATAAATAGAATAAGCATACAAATTTAAACCATTTACTATTAAGTTTCAGTAGACTACACACATACAGAGAAGTGATTGATGGTGGTGAACCTATTAAATGAAAAATTCCTCCAACATAGAATTTAAAAAAGTGAATGAGTCTGAAAAAAAAATCTGAATTTATTATAAGTGTAGATGTTTTAGGGTGGAAAACAATTTCCGAACAAACAACTCTGAAAGTTCTATAATGCTTAGAACTCAAATCTCTGAAAGTTCTATAATGCTTAGAACTCAAATCTCTGAAAGTTCTATATTGCTTAGAACTCAAATTCAGGTAAGTAAAAAACTATCATTAGCGATAAAACAGTTTTTCTTTTGGCTTGCTTAATTATTTCACGTATAATACCTTTTTTACAGAGCACATACAGTAATAAAGAATAAAACAGTTATGAGCTCTTTGAAGGTACATGCAGATGTAAAAACCATTTATCAAAGCAAAGCTGGGGAAATAAATAAAAAACACAACGTAGGTTTTTGCTGTAACCTACCTTTTCAAAGAATATGAAGAATGACATAATACTTATAACCATTTAGGACAGCATAATGTCTGGTATTACTATTTTAATAAGGGTCGGTTTTGATGATTTAGGCTACTAATAGTGATTTATTCATTATGATTCAAACACGATTGTACACTTAAAAATACCCCTACCACAGCAAACCTGCTGACTAAGGGAATCCCCGTTGGTTCTCCCAGAGGGGAGGTAATTGCCCGGTGTTGGAACCGGCACTTCAGGTAGGCCACAAGCTATGGACGACTGGACAAGCCAGCCTCTTTGGGTTTACCCAAAGTGAGAGTACCCAGTGACATTCCCTCCATTCAGGGTGGTGGGGTGTTCAGCTCTGCTAGTGTTGATTAAGTTCATAGATCTTTCACCTGCCTGTAGCTTGTGGTTGTGACTTGAGTTCTTCGGGCTCGTCCTACCTGTTGTGTTCGACTGACATTTTGTGAGGCATATCCTCGACTTTGGAAGTAGCCTCGTCCTGGGAGGTGAAAAACCTAGCCCCCAAAGGGGAGGTAACTGCTCGGTGTTGGTATCGGCATTTTCAAGTATGCCACAGACATGGACGACTGGGCATTGGGTCCCAGTGACATTCCTTTATCCAGGATGGAGGGGTGTTTAGCTCTAGGAGAGATGGAAGTGCATCATATTCTCTAACCTACCTGTGTCTGTGGTTCTTTGGGCTTCGGCCTGCTTGTTGTGTGCGACCAGCATTCAGTGTGGCAAATCCTCGACTTTGGAAGTAACCTTTCCTGGAGGTGAAAACGGGCAAGTACCCGTAGCTCACGGGGACACTCAAGGGCAACGTAACTTTCCGCAGTGTGAGGGCAACGGTTTGTAGGCACTTATGCAAACCAATCCCTGTCTCTGAGCACGGACGGTATGGTTATCTTGAGTGTGGGGGGTTCTTCCCGGAACCTCAATTGAGTCAAGGGTGTCGCCACCTCTGGTGGATAGGTTCATCCGGGTGGGTCCCATTTCTATACCTGCCTCCTTTTGGGAAACCCTGATGGCCTGGCAGTGATGTTGGGTCTGACGGGCAAACGAAGTAGATCGGGTGCTGGGTCCGAGCCCGCCAGGGGTATCTGGGGATCTATCGCTCTGGTTATCTCTGGTTTCCCAGCAACTGGGTAAGGCCTCGATCGGGTAGTGGTGTAAATGGGAGGTTGGGGTTCCCCCCGTCAGCGTGCTGACGGTCCCCTTCCTTCTGGCTATTGATGGCGGGTTTGCCTGTCAGGGATTAGATAGGTCCCGAGTGTTACTTGCACTAAATGCGTCGGGGCGCTCTACCATGGACCTCTAGGTCCCGACCTAGTGGAACCCAGGTGGAGTGACGCTTAAACAAGTAGCCGGAAACCCTGGTTAAGATTGAGGGGCAACCCTCTTTCCGAAGGGTCTGCTTCGGCAGCCGGTGAGCCTGATGACCTTAAGTCGGTGAGCGATGACCGCCCATGATGTGCAAAAGGTTGATGCACAAGCTTCGGCCTACATTATGGGGCCCGGGTAAGTCTCACGATAGGTACCGGGTATGTAGTCAGGGGGCTTCGGCTCTCATGACAAATATTGAAATGAAATGAAATGAAATGAATGAATCCCCGTTGGTTTGGATTTTACCAAAATATCTCCTTATTCAAGAGTTATTCCCTATTTAAATAACATAAGGTTTAGGTAACATTTTTTCAAAGTTTATAAGAGTCGGAAGAATCCAAAGTGAGGGAGATGAACTTTTAAAGGTCAATGGCTACAATTTTAAACAAGAAATTTGAATTTAAATATTTGCGAGTTTCAGTTAAATCCTACTTTTTTATGGAACAATGAAAAAGGAATAAAAATCAAAACGAAATAAAAAAGTAAATAAGAGATTGATTGCAACTTAAGTGATTTGCTTGAAATGTTTCTGAAGTTCGTCAATAGTAAAATAAAATATAATAATTATTGAGCGGAGCGAGCGAAGCGAGCGAAGCTCTTTGGGATCAACTTCAATGCAAACAATATAACACCATCACTCAATAACGGCTGAACACATTTCAGCCAAACTTAACAAGACTACTTAGACTAATAATGAGATGGTTTGTAAACAAACAAATTTCAATTAGATAATGCTAATGCAATTTAAAACGAACTTAAATTTTTAAATTTTTAACATTAGGCTTATGGGACTAAAGTAGCTATGACAGTTTTTTTGTTTACAAGAAAAATGTAAACAAGAGAATCATAAGGTATTTCTGAACTTTCTATACTTTTCTTTTAAACGTTTTTAAACCATTCCTATGATTTTAATAAACAAGAAAATGTCGTTACAACATTTTTTTAAGGCGCGGAATTCACTGAAAATCGAGAAAATATACGGAACTACTTTCTCAATGCGCGGAGCATAAACAAGGAGCGGAGGGATACGGACCAGTGACTACTTTCTTGGGATGGGAACCTATTTGTGTTGCCAGCTGATTAGAAACAGCCAATGTTAGAAATCAGGATTTAATAAGCGATATATCGAACCACATCGAAATCGATATTTAATCCGATAATACATCACAGATTATATTATGTTGAATTACATCGACGGTGCAGTAAGTTATTACACTTATTAATAAAACGCAGATTGAACACTGATCTAATTTAGGCATGTGGGGAAGGTAGGTCGGGGTTTATGAGTACTCGTGACTACATTAAATGTTTTGAAGTAAGGTTAGATTAGGAAGGTAAAGTGTAGGTTATAGGTAGGTGATCGAGTTGTTTATTTGTGTTGCACCATATAATTTTTATCTTTTGGAATAGTTGGTTAAATGGGGAAACGATTTCAAAAATGTTTGCATATGGTCTTAACAAACCATCTACTGTATTCTAGCATTGACTTTATATAAAGTCAATGATTGTAGCAAATTACTACATAAAAACCAAAAGAAAAGAACATTTGGATTTGGACCTTTGCCCATTGCAAAACTAACATATAATTTATGAAATGTGAAAAGTTGTACATCATTAAATACTATTCTGTAATATTAATAATTGTTCGGCAAATCCTCATTTTAATGGCTCGGCTGAAATGGAATCTGCATTTTATGAAACAGTAATTTGGTAACAATTCAGTAATTTCAAATGTTGATAACAGTAGCCTATCCTATATAAATACTGTTATTTGATTGCCAAGCCACGGACTATACATACGTCCAGTTATAACCGTAATAAGTAAATAATTAATTACCTGGACTTATAGAAGTACACTTTTAACCACGGTTATCTTTGACTATCAATACAACTAGACATTCCATCCCCATGTTAAATTTATAGCCAGCTTTTTCATCAAAATCTTCTGTATCCAATGGTCAATGGTTTTATTAAGGCCAGTATTAAAATGCCGTCTCTAAATCGTCCCAATAATGGTGGAAGACCTACATTCCAGTTACATTACAATCATATCAAGAATACTTGGTATTAACAATCATAAATTATTTTCAGCAAAGAAAGCTGATTTTAACCGATTGCAAGGGTACATAATGTACATAATGTACATAATGTGACCAATGTTTATGTTGCACAGTTGAATTTAAATGTCAAATTTTCCCTCCTGATGTTATACTTTAATACTCACGTGTTTTTTTTAAATAGTTACTGTTTTTTATACTTAAATACTTTAAACCGATTGTAAG